CTATGGCTGGGCCCCACAGACAACAGACAAGCTTCCTGCGTCTGCTGAGCCTGAGAAGTACCTGAGCACCGAGTCACCTCATCATGTCTGCTCCATGACCTTAGCCAAAGCCTTTGATAAATGCTGGGTGTTGTCTGCAGATTAAACTTCCTCAAAGGCTGGCACACTTACTTTCCCTATTCTTCTCTGGGTTTCCCTCTTCACTGCCTTTTCCTGCTTTTTTTCACCGCTGCACAAGTGTCCTGAGTATGAGGTGTTTAATAAGTGTTCACATTTCCTCTGCAAGAGGAAATAATAAATCCCAACTCACTGTTTCAATAAACAAAATGTACTGCTATCCCTCGACAGCTAATGAGGGAGAAGCGTGTTTGGCACATGCACGTAACAGTGATATGCCAGGTGCTGCTGCTATTTTGCTATTGAGGCTCTCTGGAAAGGACAGCTCCTTGGCACGAACTGCGGCAGTTAAAATATTACTTGACACGTAGAAACTAAGCGTGAGAGCTGTTTTGTCTGGGTTATAATAAGAACTGACCTTGTGGTCGGTGACAAAACATATGAGCACAGGCTGAAGCAATGTTGGGCTTGAAGCGTATGTCATCAGTTCGATTGTTTCTACTCATCTGTGTGCATCATAACTCACCTGAAGCTAACTTTGTCAGCCATTAGCGAGGGATCCGTGATGGATTGAAATACCTTTCTGCATCTCTGTGACCAATGTCACCTCCATGCGGCTAAATAAAACCATCCTGGTTCCCGTTACACAAACAAAGTTATTTGAGCAATTAAAGTTGCATCAAATAACACATCATAGTGTGTATTTGTATATAAATGTCATTTATTATTAGGTATCTGCTTCATTAGCTGCGATGAGGTCATTCAGTCAAGTCTGAGTCAGGGCCAATCAGGAAACCTAAAGCTTCTGCTTCTCACTTTCATTCATTCTGTCTTTGCCCTTTCCCACCCAGAGGTGGATGCACAGTCAGCATCTGATGATAAGGACGCAGCAGTTCTGCAGCAGGGTCAAAGTTTTTCAGAGCTATAGGATCCAGGAGTCTCCTCTTAAAAAAGTCTGGGAGCCCACTCTGGGGTCCTTCCAGCCACAGTACCAGCTGCTGGCGGCAGCCTCGGAAAGAGAATCCCTGACCCAAGTGGTAAAGACAACAGAAAATATGACATGGGAACGTCTCAGCTGTCTGGCTCTCCAACACTGAACACCATGAGTCACAGCAGAGAGGGGATCCCCAGTTCTAACCCCGGTGCCTTGGCATAGTTAGGGGAACTGCCTCTCATCCTGTTTTGCCTTTTCCTGTCGGGCGAGCGATCATAGCCAGGGATCCCCATCCTTCCTGAAAGTGGAAAATGATGCTCTTGTGTCATTTGTGCAGACGATGACTGACAGATTTTCATCATTCAGGAAGAGAAGTTTCCCTGAGCTTCAGCAAAGGACCAAAAGCTCTGTTACAATTGAAAACCCACCGTCTGGCTCCACGATGTGTTCACTTGAAGCTAACCGGTGTAGAAAGAGTAGTAGTAGACAGTAACCTGGCCTTGTATTCATAAAAAACCACATTCATCAGTTAACAAAAGAAATTTGAAATCTCTGCCATTGTATTCATAAAAAACCACATTCATCATTTAACAAAAGAAATTTGAAATCTCTGTCATTTCCACACTAGAAATTATTACAATAAAAAATGCCTTCACACTCAGTGCCTTGCTGCAGCCTCGACCCCCACTTTTGTAACCACTATGTGAAGATTTTAAGCAAAAGCAGGGAATGTGTCGGGGGGGGCTGACGGGGGTCGAGCGTAAAAGAACAGTCGTAGATAAGACTACTGTTTCTGTTACTGTTTTATAAAACGTCTCTCTGCTTTTTTATTGATTCTACTTTGTCGTGTCCTATCTCATCATCTTCTATTTGTACTGGACTCTGACGCTGTCTGTAGATATTTGGCCAAATAAGAACACGGCTTTGATCATGCCAGGCGGTCAGTTCAACAGTCAGGACACAGGAGTGGACACAAACATCCCACCCTCTAGTCTCATTCTCTGGCTGCCTTTTCTTCCAAAACCCATAGAAAACCCAACACCCTGCAGTTTTCCACTGTCCTAAACTGTGTGATACTGAATCACAGAACAACAGATCCAGATCCGTTTGACTAT